CTTTCTTCTCCGCTGCTTTTTTTCCTCTGCAATTATTTTAGGGAGCTATTTCCAATATGCTGCTGATGGCTTCAAATGAAATATTAATTCAATAGGAATGCAGGCTGTTATGCCCTGGGAGTTTCATTTTATGTCCACAAAAGGCAATTTCTTTCACCGCACCACAAGCTATGGTTCTTGGAAAATGACCACGGAAGAAGCACTTAAAGACAGGGAAGACTTTAAAGTTCACAAAAATGAGAAATGCATTATGTCCTTTGGAAATGAAGAAAACATAGAGGAACAAATAAAGCCAAAACAATAAAGAATAATGATAATTACTAGACTGTTGTTTTACAGTGGGCAGATGTCAAATAATAATTTGTTCTTAGCAAGTGATTTGAACATGGGACTGGTGGCCAATGCCTTCTCAAAACATACTGAAAAAACACACTGGGTTATTGACATATCTTCAATCTGGAGAAAAGGAGTTTATTATCTTTTAAATATGCACACTAAAAATATTAGTGGGTATAGTGGCCAGATCCATTACACATGCAAATCAGGAATAGTGTTAACTGTAGACTCTGAATAGACTACAGGAGAGTAAATAAATGCATAGCTATATACTGTAGTTTAATGATGGACAAGTGTGCTGTCAGTGAACTCCAACCTCACTGGATGTCAGCTTCCTCAGCTCCTCCAAACAGGATATAGGAGTCGCAGAGGAATGAATGGATGAACATCAAACTTCAGGTGAGAACTGATGAGCTGAAGTTGCGTCTTTGACAGTTTGAGCATCAACATTTGTCAGTCTGCCTCTGCAGCATCTGTTAACGTCACTGCTCGGTGTTCCTCCACCCGCCTGACACTCAAAACAACGTCGACGGCCAACGACCGATCACACCGCTGGCTCAGATGTACGCTCTGTAATTCTCTTACAATTAAAGGCTATGACAGGTGCAAGTTCTTGTCACAAGACCCGAATCAACCCGCGTGAGCACGAGCTGGCAGAACACCACAGGTGAAAGTCATTTGCATTTTATTGCAGATAAAGTCTTACAGCATGTGAAAAAAAAGTGAAAAAAAAAAAAAAAAAGCGTGAGCTTCTGGCTGACACATGCTTTGGCTTCTATGCAAATGTGTTCTGTCACTGAGCACAGCAGAACCTGACAAAACCCAGGCTGCGGTTACAGCCATGCTTGTATTGCTACCAGAACAAGGCTCTGTCACTTTTCCCACCCTGTGTGTGTGGAGAAAATAGAAGGTTTGCTGTTTGCATAAAAGTGCAGCAGAAATTCAAATACACTGCTCCAGTAGATCAAGCTCCAATCATGGCCGAATCACATGTTACTCGGCAACCAATAGGAGAGCAACCGAGAGGTGAAAGTTGTCATCAGACATTTATGCCGTCCTGATTGATTTATGACACTTTCCACCTTCCAGAAACCGCCAGCTGCTGCCAGTAGCCTTTGGTCGACACGGTGAATTATTCATTTTTTTTCCCAGCTACATTAACTAGTGGAGATGAAAAGACAGAAAAACACCCTTTCATCCATCATTCACTACCATGAGCGCTCCTCTATTTGTGACGCAGTGGCGGTGAAATGATATTGTTAATCAACATTTCCACGAGCTCACCTGTTCAAATGAGCACTGGATTCATATATAATACGGCTTTTTATGTTCAACACGTCGTGATCATTTACCTCCGCAGCTTAAAGGTGCCGTCAGGAACAAACTCCCATTAAAAAGTGTTGAAAGGCTTTATTTAGACTATTATCAGTGAGCAGGAGTTTCAGCTCACTGACATCAGTCTTAAGAATTACACACACATTCATACGCAGGACGTAAGGTGGGGGGAAATGAAGGACAATAATAAAGGGAGAATTATCAGTACTAGCTGTGCTCAATGAGTCTGAAATGAAATCCAAAACAATACCGGTGGAAAGACAATTAGTCAACCTTTTAAGCTACACTGACAACATTTGTCAGCCATGCCTACTTTTAAGCTACAGACACTGACAACATTTGTCAGCCATGCCTGTCTTTAACTTATCGTGTTTATTCAGTGTTGAACAGTACGCAAAAGCCGTGGTTCGGTGGCACCTTGTGGTTCCTAGTGTTCCAAAACTGCAGACCAGAAGACCTGTTCACCAATCCAGGTTAGCCTGTGCTAACTGCTAACTAACATAAATACGCTGGAAGCTATTCTTAAACTTACACGACAATTGATTGGAACTGAAATGAATTAATGTGTGTTGTTTACCGGGTCAGTTTGAATACACGTATCCCTCCACTTCTGAATTTCTCCACTACAGCAGTAGTTTACTGGAAAACTTCAATGCAGATTCAAATATGTTGTGTCTGTATATGTACAATGACAATAGATGTAGTATTCCCAAACAGCAAAACAGAAAGTGATTTCTTCCCTTTTTATTTTTATTCCAGATTGGTTATTAGCAACTAAATCCAATTATTGTCATCACTGTTCCCCAAGAATAAGATAACGGGTTCAATGCAGATTCAAATATGTTGTGTTTTAATATGTCTGTATATGTACAATGACAATAGAGAAGAATTATAAGGCAACCAAATCAAAGTGAATTTCTGGCTAAATGCTACAAAAATCCCACAAATACTAACACAGAAAAACATTATATTCATCTGGCCCTTTGGCTTTATATCAACTCGTTAACAAGTAGAAATATTTTTGAGCATCAGTTAAAAAAAAAAAAAAAAAAAAAACTCTCCCACGGGATGGAGGGACGCTGTGGTATTCAGTTATAAAGATAAGTACCATGTGCATTTACAACACCACTACAACAAATTACCTTTGTCACATTTTTGAGGTCATGTATAAATAAAGTGAGGCGGCTGAAGCCTTATTCAAACACCATTCTTTAGTTCTCATTATACCGATTGTTTTGATGGGTTTCTATGGATCTGTCTATGAAACTTCTCGTGTCACTGCAGCGTTTAACAAACCACATTGTTGTGTTTCACTGTCCCAGTTCTTCTGGATAATTTCTCACTGTCAGTTTTCACTAAAAGCATCTTCCGCCGATGAAATATCTCCTTTGAAAAGTGTTGACAGAAAGGTCTGTGAATTATTCAAGGCGGTGACAGCGCCATTTCACAGAGGATGTGTTTCTCCTGATTTCTCCTGCTTTGAATATTACTTTCTCCAAAACTGTGATCAGCACATATTAAATTTCAGTCATGTTCCTTCGATGGGGTTTTTAGGCAGATATCTGAGTGACGCAATAATTTAAACTCTGAACGAGCATCAACAAAATCATTTGTCTTGGTATTACGGAGGGAGGGGTGGGGGTGTGGAGGAAAGAAATATTTTGCTCATAATTCGGGTGAAGCAGTCATGTCATGTATTCAGTGTTGTCAAGCTCTGAGTAAATCCCAAATTAAATTGTTGTAAAACCTAAAATGCTATCAACATCCCCTGCCACTGCCGCGACACCCAGCACCTAATATTATAATACCAGCAGTTATAACTGAAACTAGACCTGTCTGGATGATACCTTTTCAAGACGTGACAATTACAACCAACATCCCCCTGTGCATAAACATCTCCTGCATTAACATCCGGCATGACTAAATAGGAAATGAGCCGCAACTGGACTTGGACGCCTCTGATGAATATTGATGAAATTGAAATTATACACTGGAGACTTTCCTGTCTGCAGGGTGTTCAAGTGACTGTGAACCATCGCATGCCTCTACCTCGACCCATTGGCGATTTCATGATCCATCAAAAAAGAAAAAACAACTCATGTCCACTGACTTCTCAGTTAATACCAATATTAGCTCTGATCAACCAGATATTCAGATTGATCAGTGCTAATATTGTGTGCAGGATTTGTATCTGGTAGAAATTGCAATAAAAGGTATTTTCATCTTTGTTTTCACCAAACTAACAACATTGAAGTCATTCTACCATTACACCTGTAGGAGCAGTAAAGGTGACTATTCTACCCCTACAAATGAGGACCCCACTTGGAAAAAGAGGCCTGAGTTTAGCAGCATGACAGAAATAGCTGTTGGGCAGTACATTTAGCACAATGCAGTCAAGACAATTTTGGATTCAACCCATATCCCAATACTCATTCCACTCCTAGAAAAGACAGACAGTACAGCATTTAAGTGGCATACCAGTGTAAAACCTTCGGCCATTTAAATTATCCATAAGTAAAAAGTCAACTTGGTGCTATTCAATTTAAATGAGTAGGAGTTACACATCTACCAAGTGTTGTCTACTCACCAAAAAAAGCATGGATTACAGCTATTTTGCGGCCAATCCCTTATCGGGTCTATTGTTGGCTGGCTACATCACTTGCCTGTATCAGGACTGTTGCAGCAAATGTTATCTCTGGTCTCCACGTTCACAGCAACATGTTTTGTATTTAGGCGTTCCTGCAGGCTCGATGTGCTGCTGCGATAACACAATTTAGCCTGATTTGCACCCAATCCTGCTGGTATTCAAGGTTAAATTAAAGAGGGGAAAAAAATGAAAAAACAAGCAAAAAACAAAAAACGTAAGGAGCATAACTGCTATCTATTGGGCTGGAGTGTGACTATTATGCAAGATCTTAGAAAAGTAGATTTAAATGCGGCATTAATTTAACACATATCTTGTCAGTAATCAAAAGTCCCATCTTGAGACAAATTATAAAGAATGTTTTCTTCACAGAACCTGTGCTGAACTCCAGACTTCATCTCCTGCTCTTGCGCCTCTCCCATCACTTCTATTGCCTTCTCCCCCCTGATAGGTTTCACCCGGGTCTCTCAGTCTGCTCCTCCCCTGCAGAGTTCCTCACTCGCTGTGCTCCCTTCACACCGATGCCTGTTTGTCATTGTCTCCAAAGCCGAGCTTTGCAGCAACATCACTTCCTACTGTTTAGGTTTTTCCTGGTTTAAAGATTTTATCTATTCCTGAACCTAACTCAGCTCTGTTCCCTGTCAGATTTATTTCCCCGATTCACTGAAGGAACTGTTTTTTTTTCTTCTTCGTAAACCAAGAGTCAGTGGCATGTGGAGACTGACTCCTGCAGTGGCTGCAGTTGTGCTGAGTCCACACCTCTGCTGGTTATACTGTTGTTACAGCATTACATTTAACAAAGCCTGAAGGCAGACAGTGTCCTCTGTGTCCTATTTTAAAGACCGGACAGGGAGTAGCTTCAACTTAAATAGACACTGCGCATATTCCCGTGATGTGTAAAAGGGATGTTATACTTTTCTCATTTGTGTAATGTGATTAGGGTCTTATTACTGAAAATTAATGTTATCTCATCTATGGACGGTATATAATTTAGTGAAAACGACTTTGGCTTCAGCGAAATGTAATTTTATCAGTTTTTTTTTTCTTTTTCTTTCTTACTTCTTGGGCTACGTTTGCAAAGAAACTCATAATTACAAGTAAGGGTAATTTTCACAGTCACGGTCCAAGGACCACTAATATCCCTCAAACTCATAAATGACTGTATTATATCAGAACCAAATGTAGCATAAAATACTCATTTCAGAGTAAACGTCAAACTGAGCTGGCACCACAAATTAGTTATTTCTGATCGTGTGGGGGAAAAAAGGCTATGTACAGTCAAAATGCAGTACAACACAGTCTGAACTGATGTTGACCGGGCCAAACACTGGAAGATGTGAAGTAGGACAATCATGTCGAGGCTCAGCATCAGTTATGCTGCTGACCTTTTCCTATAATTGCGGCGAAGAAGTGTGAGCCCATTTCATTAAGTCCGCAATATCAAACTGTTTGGATATTTTACACTTGGTGGGGTGATTTGTGAACGATTGCTTCGTTTCTACAAATGGAAAGGTCAGCGGAGGCCGAAACTCCTTTTGGAAATAAAGTGCTCGGACAAGCAAACCAAACATGACGGCAATCGGAATGTTATTAGTGGAAGTGAAGCTGACTCGTGGCAGAGAACCAGACTGGTCTGAGTGCCCGGACTTGGTAGCAGTCGGGGTCGGCACGGTCATGAACTACAGCACTGAAGAGTAAAGATGACGAGAGCAGACATGACTAGCCCCCGCCGTAACCTTGGCTCGTGTTGTAGTGGAGCAATCCATTAAAAACCTTCCTGTCCAGGAATTGCTGAGAAAAAACAGAGGCGGCCAGAACACAGCCAACAATGTCTGGTCAATTTAGGTGAAGTATAGTAGACTCAATATGTTCTTTTTGTCTTCCTGGTCCAGAGCCAACGCTCTGTCTGCTGTTTTAATGGTGTCGACTACAGCAGGCCAATAAAACACAGTTATGGAATTACTGACGTTTGGAATATCGCAGGGACTAAAATAGTTGCATATATTGAACTGAGACAGAGGTGTCCAACAGTTTTTCAATGAAGGGTCAATTTTTATATTGCGTGTAAAAATACCACAGAGCTGTTACAACCTGGATTATAGAGAATTTGGTATAAGAAAGTGCACTTTAGTAGCTGTATATGATGCATAACAATACTTTAATGAAGTTTCTTTTAAATAAATGATCCAAAATGTATTGATTTTAAATATGTTATGTGTCAAATATATTTGATGATAGATTAATTTAGTTACGGTTACATAAATCATCTTAAATTTTGCACAAAAAAAACCCCAAAGACATATGGTTCTAAGACTAAATATTAGATGAATGATCTCAAAATGTTTAAATACGCTCTTAGGTTAGTCAAGACGTTCTAACTATAATAACTATAACTATAATAACTAATATAGTACAGCCAGAAGCAGCAATTACTATGTACCAGAAAAATAGCAAGAATCCAACAAAAAAGAAAACAATTGCAGACTACAAACACCTATGTTAATGAAATAGATATTTGCTATATACAAATATCCAGTTAGCGATAAAGCTAGGCATGCTAACTTGATGTGACGTTCACATCAGCCAGTCTCTGTCCGAATAAGTCCATATAATAAGGTTATGCCCATGAATATTTGCCTCAATCCGCCTTTAAATCCTTTCTCCCGGGATTTACGGTGGACTGTGAAATTACCCCGCAGTAAAAACAAATAAGCAGCGACAATATCAGCAGAAGAGAGGGAGGTCAAAATCTCCTGACACAAACCAAGCAGCAGAGGTGATGATTCTGGTGAGATCATGGAGGAGAAATTGTCCTGTACTTAGAGGTTCACCATTAAATCTTATCTGTTCCAGCTCCTGTTTGTTCAGCCTGTGTATTTTCTCTGGATTATGACCTTGAACACACAAACACACACGGAGCACAGCCCTCCCTCCCCCTTCTGACCATGTTAACTATTTGAAAGCTTAAAGCCCAGGCCTACTATATGCTGCCATCTTCTTTACTGTACTGGACATCAGAGGACGAAAGGTTTTGTTTCCCAAAACAGTAGTTTTTGCATAAAGCTTAAAAAAAAAATTATGACTAAGAAGCAAAAAAATAAAAAAAATACTCGGCACTAAAGCATCTGTTCAGTCAGCGTAGCCTCGGGGAAGTCATTTCAAAGATGCTAACATCAGTATTTGTTAATGTTTAGGGAAGAACTGTGAACTGTGAACAAACTGTGCCACTGGGAGATGCTAACATGAGGCAACATACATGTGAGAAGCATGGGGAGGCATAATATTAACAATACTGCAAACAGCTCTTTGGCTTTAATTAGCCACAGAATACATGACTATTGAAATCTGAGAGTTAATGAAGGATGATGACGAGCTAAGATTCTAGACTAATAAATGCATTTTAATTTTTATCCAGTGCGAGTCATTATTCAAATAACTCTAAAAGTGCTGCAATTTTAGACGTCCATTTAAATTCACACCTAACTGTCAAATGTAACACAGATTCTCCTTATTGGCGAACATATTTTGGGTTTTAAAATGCTTTGAAACGTTCTTCACAACCTTGGAGACACTGGTGAATTGGTCACCTATTAGTGCCAATTATCACAGACTTTAGCATACTGCCTCAGTAGAACTCGGCTGAAAGGTTAACAGAAGTGGAAGTTCAAATATTTAGGTCAACACACAGGACTTCGATAGCAAAATATATTGAAAAGCTTAGCCGCAACCTTAAGTCGCCATTCTACATACAGAATTTAACAACAACAATTTAGTCCTTTTGACGTTAACAATGTAGGCAAACAGTCATCTTTGCAGGACTGACCAAAATAAAATCTGAAAACGAAAGAGTTATAGCTAGCTTTTTCTATTTCGATCCGAAAAGATATACTTTGCTTTTGCTTTAATGCCTTTATGCCTGCAAAAGCACGATATGCTCTTAACACACTTTGGCAGAAACTGAATCGCATCTAGCGCCAAGGCCAGCGAAACAACACCATATAACCCAAACTAAATTTTGTTTTCAGATGCATTATTTTCAGGAAGACGTGTAGCCTTTTAAAAACCCATTTTTGAAATGGCCACCACATAAAAATAACCATTTATGTTCACGCTGTCCCTGATCTGAACACCACCATCTTATGCTCGTTGAAGAGCTCTGCTCTGACTTCTGCCCAAAGCAGCCGGAGCACTTCTCACAAAATAGCTGAAACTGTGACAGCAATGATTCTGCAAAAGGCTATTGTTGCTGTGATTGCGGTCAGGGGGGTAACAGCAGGGGATCAAATCTGCAAGTCAGATTGCCACAACTAACTACAACCTTTCAGATCACTTTGAACATTCATAAACAAGCTGATGCATTTGTTTATACATGCACACAGCATTTCAGTCCTAAGCCCTGGCAAATTTTTGGCACTCAGCGCGAGACAAGGGAAAAGTAATTGCGTGCAACTTTGGGTTATTTTTCAAATATGCCAGGCAGATTAATTGCTTTTAGTTTGATTGTTTGCCTGTGCCATATTTGGGGAATCAGCCAGTTACTGTCAAACACAGTGCTACTCCATTGAGTGTAGTCTCATTATTCTCAGTGGCCAAAACAGAAAAAACCCTGGAGCAAAAGGAAGTGTAGTTTAATTCCAGTACAGAGGAGAAGGCTTTCTTTAATCGTTAACTTCTAATTCGTCCATCATGTTGGTCATTAGGAATGTCTGAGCGTGACAGTCTCCTACTCCGCTCAGCGCCTGTTGCATGACTAAAAGAGAGAAATTTCGTTTTTTTCTCCCCTGAATAGTTGTACTGTAAAGCAGTGAATTGGAAAATGCGCTGACCCTTGACTTTCACGCCACTGGCAGTAGAGCCCTGGAGCCAGATATCCCATGTGTTCAGTCCTTAACAAAGAGCCGGGATGACGGCGGGAACTGGAGCATACCAAGAAACAATGCAGGAACACCGACCTCCCAGACCTTTCACGACCACCACACCTCCTCCTCGTTTCTCACCGAGTGCTCTTCAGTTTTCCCCTATTGTGTTTTGCTCCCACACAGGACGACGGAGCTGCCTCACTTCTCCTAAGATGCTAATTAACGACTTAATCCTACATTCAGCCTCAAATCCACACTTTAAAAGTTGTTTGTTTAAACTTTAGCCTCTTTAGCAGGCATTCATTTATTTCATTTATTATATTCATTATATATTTTTAATCAGTGTCAAAATTGTCACTGTAGGTCTTACATGTGTGCTTACAATTTTTTACTATGAAAATAAATCATCAATCATTCAAATTTCCCATATCAGGGGAAATATCAACATTCGAGCTAATGCTCCAAATCACGCTTAACGTGTGCAAGGGGGCGCCCTAGGCCCAGTCAGTGTAGGTACAGGCCTAGTTAGACACAAATCTATCAGCGACACACTTTTTAAATGTGGCTTTGGTCTGACCCCCAATTTACAATCTGACATTCTCCTAATTGTGTCTGCTTCTGTAACTTTCATCGTTACGCCGACAATAATGAACATGCAGTATCCTGGGAAACAGATAGCAGTCTCCTGTGTGAAAGCAATGCCTTCAGTCGGTCGCCCCATCTCCACCTGCCAGCCGATACAAACCTCATTACCTGATTTTCATAATGAGAATTGCTCCTGGAGGTTGCACAGCAATGAAACGTAACTATGGTTCATTATGATGCCTGCACAGTTGATTCTGGTTACTGAGAGTCGGTCTCAGGAAGCACAAGGCTTATGATGTGATTATCTGTGAGTATTAGTGTTGCCTTAATGAGAGAATTGTGGAAAGAATATATGCTGATGGAAGTTAGATTGGTTTATCGTTCTGCACACGGTGACATTTATGACAATTGACGGTCAGAAAAAAAAAAAAAAGTTCTGATTTGTGAGGAATAATCCCCAAAAAAGATCCAAACCTGCAACCAGTAACAACAGATTATATATTTTTTTCCAACCCTCAAATACACAAAAAAAGATATTGTCCGTCACATGACCAAGCTCTCCAAAAAACATTCAACAGAAACCTAAATTAAGCAGCTACAACAGTAGCAGCTGGATCATTTAAGGAACTGCTATCCTCCAGGGATACGTCCCCTAGAAGGTTTTTTTTTTTTTGGCAGTCCAAAAGTTCAGAGGACATTTTCACTGGAACTGATACACAAAGAGCCTGGATTTCACAGAAATGTGTTGCTAAAAACTAAAATTGGACCATTTATTTGGACACATGGCGGGCCTTTGGAAGTCAAAAGTAAAAGCAGTAATTTATTCTTCTGCACTCTTAACCTCACCTTTCAAACACCTCCACAGCTGCTTTGGCTGTTTTCAATATTTACAGCCATTTCTGAGCGTGGCTTTGAGTTGTGTTTTGGTTTCTCTGTCACAGACGTCTGTGGCACTGCCCAGATTGTCACTAAATATTGATGTGCCTTCCATTGCGTTGCTGGAATTTGAAATTGCAAACATGAAACAGTCAAGTAACAGCTGGATTTCTGTCAAATTTTTCCGAGAAGGCTGATTAGAATCAATGAGACTCTTTCATCCTGCACCCCGCTGTGAAGCAAATGCCACATCGGTGGCACCGCATTTGACACAGTATTTTTTTTTGTCACTGCCTTCAAAACAACCTGTACAATCCATGCACAGTATAGTAGTGTCAGTAACAGCAGCTTCAAAAAACTCGGTAAGTATTTTTAATATAATATTAAGTATATTAAAATAATATTTGAAAAAATTATTTGCTTAACTGGTTTTCAAGCCAGTAGCTTTAAGCTAACATGCTACACCCATGCTAAAAGCTAATTGGGGTCAAAATAAATTATATAAATTATACATTTTTTTAAATAATTTCTTGTACCTTTCAACTGGCGGATGTTTTCCTACAGATCGCATGAATGTATATAAATAAACCATAAAAACTCTAATTAACAAAATTATTTGTTTCCTTATATTCTTTTTATAGTTATTTAAAAGCAAAGCTAAATCTTCACAGTTATTAGCAAACATACTGCTAAGATCATTTTTATTGTCTTTTAAAGTTTTTTTTTTTTAATTCATTACTGGCTAGGCTGTAATCAAATGTTCCCATTCGAACCCAAATAATTCAGTGAATATTTAAAAATAGTGTAAAAAATATTGAAACTCGCATCTTATTCAGCTCTTATTCACTTTCAGCCTTTGTGCATGAACACAGCGGCAGGTACTCGATGTTCTGGACCATGTCATGCTGCCAGAATAATCACAGCCCTTCTTATTTATTTAATTTCAGTATTTATTTTACATTAAGGTGTCATCTGCAATTTCTTCAGTAGCTTGCAAATAGCATGTTCCCGAGTCGCAGAAATCCATTAGCAGGTCAATGGACATGACGTGTGTCTTTTCTTCTGCCAGAACGTGTCTGCCATTAAGCTTCTGTGCTTAAAGGTACTGTTTTTTTCTCAAGAAGCCTCATTTTAGAGCATTTGGACAACTTTGGTCAGAAATTTAATAGGAAAAAGGGGAGTTTTTGGGGTCACCCAAAGGTTGCCTTTCGAAGATATGTTGCCCTTATGAAAAAAACAAAAAACAAAACTGAAATAAAAAGTCAAACATTTTAAATTCTACATTTTTCCCTACCTAAATCTGCGTAGATGAGTTTTTTATATTGATTTTTTATGAATATTAACACATTTTTAGCAGAAAATCTGCAATGTTCATTCAAGTATCTGTTTACTAGTTTTCCACACGTGGGCTACTGCCATCTGTTCAATATCTGTCATCGTCACTAAAATACGCATTAGTTTGCAAATTAATAAGCTTTGGGAGATACACTGTTCGTGATGCCTTATTCCTGGGTGGCACTCACGTTAACTTACAGTCCAGTTATACACAGTGTCTTCAGTCTAGAGATGAGCTGTATAGAAAAAGTAATGAATGAATGAGTGTAGTACCAGTTTACACTGGGAACATAGGGAAAGTTTTTCAATCAAGAAAAAAAAGGAAAAAAATAAGTCATGCTGATTAATAAAATTATATAAAATTGCTATTGCCATTGGATTAGGACATGGTCTCTTCCTTTGTTTAGCTGAATTCCCTCATTATCTGACCAGGTTGACCTTTATCCCTTAATAAAAACAGTTCCACCTGCTCGACCTTGGATTAAAACTCATTCAACATGGTTCTAACAAGTTTTTTTTCCTCTAAATATTTTCACCAGATCCCACTGAAAACCAACGCTGTTGTTTGTTTCCCTGACAGAAACGGTGGAATCAAAGCCTTGTTGCTATGGGCAACAAAACCACAGCTTGTTTAAAGTTGGTCAGGTGGGTTTTGCACCTTGACCCCCTGCCCTTACACCTCACTTTGCTCCATTATCAACAGATCCAATGCTGAATGAATCAGCGCGGAAAGTTGGCAAAGGAGTTTGTGTTGCTTTGCAAAACAGACTGAATGGCCAAGGTTCTCCTCCTTCCCTCCTCCCCCTCCCTCATTCCCCCCCCCCTGCATGCTACAGAGGAGCCGCAGAGCTCCGGTGAGCACGTGTCTCCAGCACAGCGGCTCACATTTCTAACTTCCTTTTGACGACCAAGGCCATTAGGAAACTTCCCTTTCTGACCCTTTGTACAGAACCGCTTTTCATTCGCCGCATCAGAGCGAGGCCAGCGGGAAGCTGATTTATCTCAGCAAACAAAGGCTTTGGACAGCAGCGATGAAAACACCTTTTCTGGGGTTTAAATATACTGTATCTGTCAGAACTCAGTCGCCTCACGGAAAATTGCTACGATGTGCACAATTATACATCATTTTTCATTAGCAGCAGTGCTTTAGCAGCAGTGCTTTAGCAGCGGTGGCTCTAATGAGAGCAGTTATTTACATATTGCTGCGTCATTGTGAGCGCCTCCTTTACTGCTACTGTAGTTTATATCACTTTTTACACTGGTTGAAAAGAAATTATAGTGCGGCTGCAAGGAACTATTCAGCTGTTGATTACTATCATTAACCTGCTCTGTTTGGAGCAGTACCATTTATACCATGTTTTATTTTCAACACTACTACTACAACTAGCAGTAATATTTATACCATGTTTTGATTAGGGTTGCACCAAAATTAAAATTCTTGGCCAAAACCAAAAATGAGGAAACAAAGGCCGACAACTATTAATTACCTCGTCACAGGTTTAGGACTGTGTACTAAACTGCCATAAAATCAAGGCACTGCAATTGCATAAATTAATCATAAATAATAAATAATAATAATAAATAATAAATCAGTAATTGTTAAAAAAAAATTCTAAGGATCAAATTAGGAGTGACATACAAATATAAAGCAATTTGATGCAAATTATTTTTTATAATTTATAATAATTTTAATTTTTTTATTTAATTATTATTTTTATGTGTATGTTGAATGATGATTGCCATACATGCTTAAACAGTTTATTTAATAGTAAACAAAGGGTATCTTACTTGTAACTGGATGACAAAATGTTCCCGTGCATTTGTGCAAAATGGTAATTGCGTCACTTGATGACTAGTGAACACAACAAATCAACCATAGCTTATAAATCCAAACCTAATGTAAAACATCGCAGTAAACGCAGTACACACTAATACAATAGCGGGACTGTATACTGAGTCGTGTTGTGCTCCTATTCAGCTCTGAAGCAACAAAACAACCGGCGGGACAGCAGATACAAGTGCTGCTGCCAAAAGGTCCACAGATTGTTGACAAAGCAGACGCACAAAGTGAAAAATGGCATTATTTTGCTTAGTAAGCTCACGGTCAGGACAAGCTGACGGACACAGCAAAGCTCCGGTGAAAGAAAATATGCTCCAAAGCTGATCATGCAGACAGAGCCAATACATCCAATCTGGCAAAACATCTTGCAAACAGAGACATGTAAGAGGAAAATGTGGCACATGCCAAGAAAAAGAAATCTTATAACTGATTTTTTTATTTAAAAATAAAAATGGATCTGGACGAGTCTGGGCGTCTGACTTTTATTTTGTCTTGTTTTTCAGGCCCATGAGAAAACTTCCATCAAAAACTATGAATTCACAATTATGCAGATGCAGAGCCTTTTTAAAATGATCCATTTCACCTCAATCAATATTTGTAATTGGGAAGACACACATGGAAATGTAGTAAATGAAGCAAATTATTTGTCATAGACATGACTACTCAAGTGTTTCTCACAGGAATAATTGAGTCCCAATTCTCCCCCTAAATAGGTGTGGGATTCTGGGTACCTGAATGCTCGAAGGGCAACGATTGGGTGACAAACCATTAGCGATGCGTGCATCAAATAACTGTTTCACAAGAGTGTCTCTTCTTTATCAACAAAAGAACAAACACTGGAAGAGAATAACTCGTTTGATATTGAGTTTGAATACATGTATTTTGCTTCTATTGTGTCAGATTCTAGAGAACGCCCATCACTGATGCAAAAACCATTCGCAAAAATAATGTGAGTCTGCAAGTTGATTCTCTTCCCACTCCCAGCAAATGCTGGATGGCCCTATTTTAACTACCATTGTTTGTTTGAAGCGTCCTTTAGCGCAACACATCTAATATAACTACCTCCTCTAGCGCAACACATCTAATATAACTACCTCAGAAGGTCATCAGTTTCCTGCTTTTCTTTTCACTTATCAAACCAAAGACAAAGCAGAAACAGTTTGTCTTGATATGTGAATGATGGAAAATGTCCTCATTTAAAAATATTGCGTAATTGTGCAAATAACTCTCACAAGTATCACTGTGGACATAGGTAGAAAACAAACAACGACACACAAACACACTGTAGAGCAGAGCAACACAGTAAAAAGTTAAAGTTACTATCTTATAAAAAACACTTGACTGACTTTATTATTGACTGTGTGCCTGGAGGGGCCAGTGTGAGGTCTCTACTGTCCACAGAAAGAATAAAATAAAGCGCTGAACACAAAACAGCACAGAAAGCACAATATTACTAAGCATTAAGACAATAAACATTATCGACATTCACTGTTCACTCAGGCATCAGATCGAAACCCGGGATTATTAGTCTATACATCAGCGCTGCGCCAACGCAGACCCAACACCGAGGAGAAACTCCTTGGAGGAAGTCGAGATTTGTGTGGAAAGAGAAACTTTTTTTCTTTGCTCCTTTTCCCAGAGAAAATGCAGACAACGTGGAGAAAACTCTGTGGTATTAACGTTACACAGTTTGTTATCAAAAAGGCCATGCGAAGAGCACACAAAAACGTTGTCTCCCGCTCCCTCCGAAAGATAAATGTTGACCTTGAATCTGTCGCTCAGAGGCATTTATCACTCTCTGAAGAGGTGACATTTTTTTGTGGACCTCGATGCGGCTCAGACCTGCTCTGCCTTGCTTGATTTAGCTAATTTTGGAGAATTTCAGGGTCCACATGGTTCGTTACCTTCAGCATCTGCTGCTGTCTCTGACCTTCAGACCAAAATAAAAAAAAATAAAAACAGATAAAAAAAGCTCACCATTAGTTTTCAATTCTTCATCTGTCTTTCCATCTATACTTTTGTTGTTATACTATATAAATGAAGTAATTACTCAGGTTAATTATATATATATTTTTCATTTTTATTAAATTAAAGATTTGTACTTAAGATACAAATGTCCAAATGCGTTTTTTGGTTTCAATGCGTCTCTTTTTTGTAGTTTGTCTAAGTGCCAGGCTAAGCATCATAATTCTTTACGTTGACCATTTCTGCTACATGTCGCTAACCTTTACCTCATATTTATAGACCGCTCTTTATTGCATCCATTATGTTTTACATTTAACAGAACTTTTAAGTCAATTCTCATGAACATAGAGCTGATGTGAGGATGAAAAGAACATTTTCTTAGAGGCCAGTGATTATTTCTGCAGCTCTATAATTTAACATTAAACTCCATTCTTGGTCATTCTAATTATTTCTGCAGCTCTATAATTTAACTTAAAACATTAAACTCCATTCTTGGTCATTCTATAAGCCCCTTGGCAGTAGGACAGCATTACATTTAATGTCTTTACTGTTTAAAGAGGAAATAAAATAAATATAAATGACATAATAACAACATGCCTGCATTCCTTGTGTAATATGAAACACGTACTGGGGGAGAGTGAGCGGGTGTATACACAGCAGTAATAAAAAAAGGCAAAAAATTAAAAGAAAAACACAAATCCATACAGTGCGTGTCAATCTCTTCTATCAGCCTACTCTCTGTGAAAACAGCAGGATATCAAGAGTCTGGACCAGACTCCAGTTTGGACTGCATCCCAGTTTGTAGATGCAGACGTGTAAGGAGAAGAAACAAAGTGATGAAGAGGTGGTGCTGATGGTGGGCTGCCCAGAGAGAGAGAGAAAGAGAGAGAGAGTGCATGCCTGAATTTGCCCAGGTTCTCATCGGCTCCTGGGAGCAGTGGACCGAGCTGGTGCAGATACACACACACACACAAACAAAAAAATCTCCTGCTGACACAAACACTGGCACAGTATCACAGCATGTCCTCTGCAGCATGTACCCCCCCCCCCCCCCCTCCTCCATAAATTGACTTATACATAGATATACACACTGTACACAGAAGCTAGAAAGAGACAAAAACTGCATCTGTGCTCCCGCTCTCACCCACAGCTTTCTCTCCCATGGAGGAAGTGTTACATAATTCCAGCTGTTTCCAGCGCTGGGTTAATGCTCCATCACAGGGAGGACTGTGCATGTATTTAGCTCATTCAGCTCAGAGCCAATGTCGTGGTGTGGGTGGGTGAGTGTGATGTTGGGGTAGGGGGATGGAGGGCGTTGGGTTGATGTCCTGTTCTACATGTCGTTTATTTCTTAGTCGTGACAGTGGAAACTTTAAAAATGCAGAGAAATGAAACGACAACAAATGGAATTTAAATGATCAGCCGGGTTGAAACCAATGCTGATGTTTACCACACAAATACAAGCGGAGACTCCAGCAGCACTAAAGAGCCTCACGTCATTGGAAACATGATCCACCTCCTGCATTTTTAAAAACTCCAGAGAGAATCACAGACGTCCACAAACACAGAGCACTGCGTCAATATATTGACGGCTATAGTTTAATAGTTATTGATGACTTAATTAAGTCACGACGGCAAAGAGTTGGCCCCCTGGGTTTGTGTTGTTACTTATTTAATTTTTTTTTGGATAACTTTTATCTGCAGTATATGTATATATATATATATAATATATCTATATATATATATATAAACCCTCACTTTTGATATATTACTATTGGTTAAGATTTTTTGATTAAGACATTTTTTTTCAAATTTCTTTTTTATTAATGGTGACTGAATTCATGCTATTACATTTCTTGGTATATTTAGGCTTTTAGTTTTATAAATATTTTATATATTTTGTTACTTTCATTAAAATCTGCCCTCAAAATATATTTGGACATATGTGATTGGTTTGAATCTTTGAATCTTTTGTTCACAGCATTATGGTCTGGCCCTGCCCTTGACTGTGACTCTATGTTAATGCGTAGCTTCATGTCTTTCACGGTGTTTATGACTAACATGTTTATTCTAACATGTGTCGCGGTTATGTTTTTACACCAGGGATTTTATGGTTGCGCATGTTTATGGCCGCACGTTGTGTGTAGTTGCTGTAAAAATGCTAAATGCATTCAGCTCAGCACAGAATACATTGAGTGTATGACAATTAAAAAAAAACCAAAAAAAACCTCAGTTCAACACATGAACCATAGATCGAAAAGAAAAACAAGCCTCACTTTGAGCCTAAGTCTCAGGACGCCTCATGAAGCCCAGGAGATCACATCACTGCGTTAAAGGCTCTTTTTGTTTGCTTTGTGACACAACAACACATCCTGAAAATGACTGCCATCCTTTAATTGACCTTATGGCAAAGTGAAGTGCGTGATTGGTTTTGCATCGATCCGAGGCCTCTCGATGCACCCTCTGACATTTCCTCCCATATTTTATTTTGTGTTTTTGCATTTCCTCTTCCCTCTATCTTTCACTCCGTCTATGCCCAACCTCTCCACCCAACACCCCCAAGACTCCATAGCTGAATGAGCATGCAGCAGAGAGCTAATATCAACACACTAATGCAGCCCTTCATCTTCCAGCTCCGCCTGTTTCTCCGTGGCAGCAGGGCAGACTGTAGAAATTATGGATGTCCTTACAAATGGAAATGGAAATGGGGGAAAAAATATATTTATATAAGCTGGGGAGAAAAGACAAGAAACGGGGGCCATATCTGACTTGAGAGAGAGAACGTGGGGGCCCTGAAAGCTGAGGTCTTGTTTCTTTACAGATTAGAAGATCAGTCCTCGCAGCACTTTCCCTCAGGGCAGAGCAAAGGGAAAGGCAAAAGGAGGGGAAGACGCTTTTATTCTGACGCAGCTCTGCCAGCGTTTTCCATCCCACCGCTTCGGAAGCTCAATCTCCTCCTCTGAAGCCGCTCCCAAAAACAGGCTTTTCTGCTGTAATGCAGACTAAATCTCTAATTACAATTTTTGGGCCTGGGTAGCAGAAGTCCTTATTATGGTTCCTCTTATTATGCAAATTAATAGACTGATTCCAAAGAATTAATTACCTCTTGTCCCAAGTTTGATTAAGAAATGAGAGTTTGGGGCTTCTATTTTGATTTGTTATTTGGCTTTCGTTTCTCCTGCAGGAAACAAAAGTGTAAACAAAAGGTGATGCACAGGCAGCGACTGGATGAAAAGGAAATTAAATCAATTTGGGCTTAAAAATACACCGACTCAGAGGATGAGTTGGTTTTCAGAATGGGAATACTGAGAGAAGAAATCAGTATTCTTCAGTACTTCATTTGACAGTTATTGTTGATGCACACTTGACCAGCACCAAGTCCAGTTCAAGCACTTTATAGGATCTTTGAAGGTCTCTCTCTAGCACATTTATTTTATTCCTTTGTTACTATTTTTTCAGACATTTTAACCATTATTAACATTCGCTCTCACAGCACATGCACCACAAAAAACACTTGTCTCGTAGCGAGCCTTTAACCCTGAACCTAAGTTCGACCGCTACAACCTAAGCCAACTCTCGCTCATGTTATCGCAGACAGTGAAAGAGAACCGTGGCTGTGAGGCTCACAAGTCTTTAGTCCGACAACGGAGGAGTTCCCCACTCCTTTTAAGACAATAAAAACTTTGAAAACAGTGGCTACATCACAGCGGACGGTGTCACACAGAGAGTCCAGTTAAAGGGTCACAGTCAGAGCATTAAGTGTTTGCCCTCAGCTGAACAACACCGCTGTGGTGTTATTACAATAGCTATTAAAATAGAGTCGTATCATCTCACTCTCCTTGACATTTCCAGAAAGGTAGCCCACCTCCTAGAACGCAGGAAACGAGGGGCTCTAACCCCCCCGGCTCTTACTCGTTGCCTCTGGTTCATTTCCAGCAGGATTCAAAACAAAGGCCTGGCAAATTAAATGCATTGGCAGCAAGGCTGTGCACAATGCTGCCCGTCTGAATAGAGTGAAATTACCTCATCCTGACAAAGGCAGGTGGATGAAAAAAGGGTCCCGTCAAAACTCTGATTTGCCTCCCTGAATGAGGAAGCTCAAAAAGCAGCGGTGGGGGTGAGGGGTTGGCTCTTACCGACGATTCTCCTGCAACAAAATTGCTCGCATGCCTTTCATTCTTCACCTGCCATTATCACTAGATCAGAAGTGGGGCGAGGATTAACAGTTTAATTGGTTCTGTTACACAGACACAGACAGGCCATATAAGAACTATTGAGCAGAATCCAATGAACTGCCGTCTCCATCAGTTTGCACCAGCGGACAAGGTCAGCGCTCCAAGTCCGGGTAATAATGCAGGTTGCAAAGAGAATAGGTGAGTGTCAGACAGAAAAACAATCCAATCCAATCCACATCACACATCCGCATCCAGCCTTTGGGTTTGTTTTGGGTTTTTTTTTCACTTAGCAATAAGCCTGCAGTTTTCATTGGCAGGGCTAATTACGAGGGCAGCGGCTACACAGAAAGGATAAATTTCCACATAACAGAGCCGTAATTTTCTCTGTCCACCTTTTAAATTCTTCCTTCCTATGGAAGATAAAGGAGGGAAAATACAAATAGCAATTAAATGCTGCTCAACCTGGGTGAGATTACACTCCTGAGAAAGACAGCCAATAAGAGCAGGTTTATTGCCTCAGAAGTGAGGGGAAAGACAATGTGGAAGGAAAACAAGGATGTTGCACCAACTTCAACGGTATAAGAGACGGAAAGTTTCCCTTTGGAGGCAACGGTTTGCATCACTCCTGGATTTAATGTACACTCAGAGAGCTTGAAAGTCGTACGTACATCAAACGGAGATTTCAAAATAACGCTTCAATGTGGAGCCTTTGTTTTTATAATAGCTGCAGGACGGAGTTGTGGAAACGGATCACCTGCGTCCTAATCTGTGAGACTGTTATCTACTTAAAAACCAACCCTGTGGGTCACATATGCAAATAGCTCATTACCATAGCTCACAAATCTGCGTCTTTGTGGAGTAAACATTAGCAGCTGTAGGAACGATGGAGGAAGTCAGACAAAGAGGAAACAAAGCTCTTCTTGGAAAGTAAACAGAAGCAAACACATATTTTCAGAAGGATATTTCCAAGGTCTAATTTAAGCACTTTCAAAAACCTTTAGGATCTTGTTTTGAACACTTTCCAATGAATTAAGTATTACTGATGAATAACATTGGCAAAAATATGGATTTTAATTTTTCTTCGTTACATTTTCTTTGGATAATCATTAGTTGACCGTTTGCTACTTGTTTTTTAAGAAAATAGTAACTAAGTCTGAAGTAATATTCTCATTTTAAAAATGTATATATTTCAAGATATTTCCATTATCTAGAGTCTCCAAAAGTCAAATAGCGGTCTATCACTGCTTGAAG